CACACACACACACACACACACACACACACACACACACACACACACACACACACACACTTTGCAACAGACAATCAATATGTATCTGGTGGTTGAAGTGTGTGTTGTGTTTACTTGTAGTTCCAGCCAATCCAATTCAATCCTGGCAGAGGGGGTACCGGCAGTTAAAGAGCTACACAAGCTAGAGTTGGAGTAAGTAGTAATAAGCAACATTTGACAATTAAATTATTGACAATGGTTACCATGAAAATGATGATGATGATGATGATGATGATGATGATGATGATGATTTCCTCCAGGCTTGGTCCAGAGAAAGGTCCCCTGGTTCTTCCCAAGCTATGGGAGCTCCTGCCAGGTCTACACAACCTACAGCACTTAGAGTAAATATACACATTTGACTTCAAGTTCTCTCCCAGTGCTTATATATCTGTTTAATGTTTTTTTCCCTGTGCCTAAGAGTAACTTCTCTTTTCTTTCAGTCTAGAGAACAGTACGATTGGGGACAAAGGAGCAGAGGAATTGGCGGATACTTTAGTCTCACTTGGGTCCCTGGAGATTCTCAAGTGAGTTTACCATGTTCCTTCTCATCCTGTACAACAGAATACATAATGGTGTGTGTTGTACTAACTGGTTAACCTCTCATTCTAGTTTGTCACAGAATTGCATAGGAGACCAGGGGGTGAGGAAACTGGCCACTGTGCTGCGGGATCTTCCCAAACTGCACTGTTTAAGGTATATAACACACATATACCTTGTCAACAACACCCACAGTGGCGCATACGATAAACCCACTTCATTTCACTTCCCCTTTATTTGTTTCCAGTCTCTACAGTAATGTGATTTGTGACGAAGGTGCGGAGACTCTGGCTGCTGTCCTCCCACACATGGCTTCGCTCACTGACCTGGAGTAAGACCTTAAATGTCACATTTACAATAATTCTACTGTATTGTTTTTTTTTACTGATTATAAATGACATTAAACCTCCAAAAGACATACATTGAAACACGTGTCACATTCTCCTTAGACATTAATAACGTGTTGTTCTCTCCTTATACTTTATCTAATGAAACACAGCATTAACCCAATGAATTTGATTCATTATGGAGAACGTATTTAATGAACTAAACACACTTTTAATCAAACATTGAACAGACAAAAAAAGGTGTTACACACACCACACACACATTCACCAAACAAGGAACTACTGTAGTCAAAAATATGTTTGCATAAATAAAAATAAATGTTGATCCTCTGAGCTTTGCTCTGTTCACTGATATATTGACAGAAAGATGTGTTTTATAAGCATGTATAACTACCTGAAGATACAGAAGTGTGCAATGTTGCAAGATTCAACGTGTTAAACAGTTTTCTTTCTGTTTGACAGTGTCAAGTACAATAAGCTAACAAGTGTTGGAGCACAGAGCCTGGGAGCCAGTCTGAGAAACTGTAGAAAAATAAAGACCTTGAGGTGAAAAGCTAAATCATTTTGTATCCATTTTTCTTTTCCTTGCATGTCATCCAGCATCATAATATCTATTTCTATCACAGGATGTGGAACCAGTGTATTCCTTACGGTGTGTTTGAGAGACTTCAGCAGCAGGACAACAGGATCCAGTGGCAGTAGAACACTATGAAACCTCTACACACATCCTCACATGTTTACACTACACACTACATTTTATACTGCATGTGTGCTTAAGAAAAAAGAGAGTGGGAGAAAGCTCACGCTCACAAACCAAAAATAATTCTTAGTTGCTTTATTCAATAGTTCTCCTTGTCAGATATTTTTAAAGATTCCCCTGAGTGCTTCATCCTTCGGTGCTGCATGTGTTTACTGTATAGGTGTGTGGTTTGGCTAGGTACACATTCAAGAAGCACTTTTGCACTATATGAGATCTGATTTTATGTAACCATAATTGTTTCTTATTTTTATAAATAAAATGTTTTGTGTTGTTACGTACACTGTTTTTTCGTTTCACTTTTTTTTTAAATTCAACAGTTTATTATTAACCTGTTTTCACTTCCTTCCCAAAAGGTTTCTGTTCTCTTTTTTTTTTTAATGCAAGCTAACTTTTACAGTCCTATAGTTTCTGAAACTCTGCGTCGTTGATGTTATTATTTTATTTCCCTTAATAAATGGACACTTACTGACGTGTGCTGATGTACACTGTAGCCACCTTTTGTTGCTGACTGTAAAACCTTTTGCTATATCTGTAAAGGTTGTGATGCAGCAAGAGCCTCAGATAACCTGACTTGTAGTATCAAATATGGGTTAAGGCCCCAAGACACTGGATCCTTCATTTCCCACAATGCAACAAGACAATCAGTGGTCACCTTCAGGAATATTTATTGTGAAAACCAAATATTTTTGGATCCTAAGTTGAGTTTTTCCCAATGATATCACTATTGTAGAAGGTCTGCTCGTACAGTCAAACCGACAGCAGCTTAATTGAACATGTTAGAATATAAATAGACAGCGTTCATGTTTGGTTAATGTATAAATGAATGTTTCTGTACTTTGTTGTTGATTTGTTGAACATTGTTATGTTCCACCATGCTCCTTTTTTCCACTGATGCACTGACGCACTCTTGTGGACAAAATGTAAAGTGACACAATAAAAGCACATGGGACAAAGTCAACAGTCTGGCATCAACATGTCCATGCTTCTGTAAAATAATCAACAAATATGATATTCCAGTTGAAGGAAGAGGCAGAAAAGTTGGTATTCGCTCATAGTTTATTAAATACACGTCGGAAAATAAAACTCTGTTACAATCCAAAGCTTATTATAGCATGTGCATGTCTTTATAGAAGCAGACGTGGAGGGTACGATCACAGTCCTTGTGAAGTCTCACAGGGTTCTAAACTAACATTTGAGTAGAGTTGATCAAACACAGTGTGTTATCATGCCTGGGAAACGGCACAGTGCAACTACCACCAATGATTTATTAACAGTTGGCATACAAAAGTACATCCTCCCAATGTAACAGCTTCACTTGCAATTGATTGTTAAAATATAGGGAGTCTTTCATATGTGATGTACCTAACTCATTGTACTGATAACAGCCTGTTAAAGCCCTCTACCTCCAGCATGATGTGGTTTGATTTCACCATTCATATATTTTACAATATGAAATAAATATTAGTATCCTGAGCTTTAGTGTAACGTGAACTAAATGCTGCTGCAGACTCATTATTATCAGGAAATATACCGATTTATGCAATTTGATGAAATGTCTCGCAGACTGGTTTGAATTGAGACAGTAAGGCAATTAATTTGTCTTGAGTAAGAAATGTAGATGTGCAAATATTTAGTTTTTTGTCTCTAGATCTTTAGTTGACAACAAACTTCCCTTATTCTGTGGAAAACAAGCTAATTTCTGAGTATAACGACTACTAGCACAATTAGCTAATTCTGGCAGACAGCAGTCATGTGCTGAAGAAATATTGATTTATTGCCTCAAAAATCAATAGGCAGGGCTATACGTGCTCTTAACAGACCTACAGTATGTACAGCGCCTCCAAGGCTTACACACATCTAGTAGTGAATTGCCTCATTGCTTGAACCTTGTTTATTATTGCTGCCGAGAATATACATTTCTCTTTAAAGAATTCATAAATATTCAACATAAAAAAGTGTAATAAAAGACCATTTTGGGAACTAAACCAATAAAAAAAAAAACACAAATGTCATGCGTTGAGTCTTCTCTGTGTCATTTCGTAACAATAAAACATGGCTGCATCAAATAACAGAGAAAGTTGAATATCTGAAGCACTTCTGAGTTTCTCTTTCAGGTGAGGGTTCTGTCTTTGACACGACTCATGCTGATAACAGTTTCACACATTTGGCAAGGGGTCAGCCTCTAATACAAAATGAAACATGTGTGAACCCAATCACTGTGATAAAGATTATCAGCAGACATACTGTAAATAAATAACTCTCCCTAGATGCTTTTTCTTCACTTCAACTTTTACAGCCTGTGTCCAGAGCACCCAGAGGTCCTAACTATGCACCCTGAGAGTCTGTACATGCCTGAAGCAGACAAACAGCACGGATGACCCCAAAATATATATATTTAAATGACGCTTCAAGGATGCGTGAGCCATCAAAGTAGCAATGCTTTGTGTGTTCTGAAAACGTAAAAAGAACATAACTAAAACCGGTTGTACTGTGAATGACCTACAACAGACCCACAGTGGACATTGTTTCCTGCTGTCGGCCAGTTCTTCACACTGTGCAGGACATCACACTGTGACGGCAAGTTTTATATTCACTTTCTTCAGCAGTCAGCCACCAGATCTTGCTCATCCGGGGTAATTGTTCACAGCGAGTCACATCCTGCTTCTGTATCTGACCTGGCTGCAATGCAGAGTCATGATCCACATCTCTGGTGACATGTATATCCACAGAGAACAGCTGTCTTTCTGCTCAGAGCACATTGTGCTTCCTTTTTCCTTTCTTTGTCTCCAATGTGAAGGACACAGATGCCGGGGCCAACTCCATGGTGTCCAACGAGAGTCCATTAGAGTGGCAAACGACTGACTGACCGACAGCATATCCAGCGCAGGGGGCTCTTAACACGGGACCTTCGCTGATCATGGTGCCGGTGGTTCTGAATCTCTTCCTCAAGTTACCTTTTCTTGAGCCTAGACAACCTAGAGATGTGACACAAAACAAATACAGATCGTCAGTTCATCACCACAATGTTTTGAATAGCTTAACTTATAACATAACTAAAAAAGGATGAGTTTTGATGTAGTAATACATATGTTTCTATTCTAAGTATCTCCATTTGACCATTACAACAGAAAAAAAACAAGACAAACATAGTCCAGTGTGTTCTGCTTACTTTTTCACTGATATGACTTTGTGAGAAAAAGGCATCAACATCATCCGCTTTGAGGCTTTTTCCCCCCTCGGTCCTGACCAGGGGAGGTTCACGCTGGTCCAATCTGCCCTGGACCTCTGCATCATCACCATCAATACTTGAATGTGTTTGTCTTCCTGCAGGACAGCTGTGTCAATCTAGATACCCCTCAAACACATCCAGCTCTGTGTCCGTGTCATACGGGACGGAGGCCGGGTCGGACAGCACCCCGAGGTCCACCAGCGCCTGGTCCATGTCCTCAGGCAGAAATACTATCCCCACATTCAGGACGATGTACTCCATCAGAAAGGCATAATAGAGGATCAGGATGTTCACAAAGAACAGGCCCAGATAAAACATATATGGGAGTTCGTCCAATAGCGATTCTACCGAATCTAGCTGGGGATAAATTGGATGTTTCATAGAAAATAAATAGAGCCACGGTTTGGGTTCTTGCGAGGCCAGGATGTGATTCACCGTTATAAATCTCTCCGGGGTGATGGGGCTGGGGTGTCCATTTCGGCTCGTCCCGACCTGAAAACAATGATTGAGAAGCAGTTTTAATTTAATCTGCAAGGTCCAAAAGAAAACGAAAACTACACAGGTAGTTTTAGGCTAATAGCTAATGATAACAGGCGTTAGCTAACTCGACATATGCTTGACATTGTTTTGGGGGGTTTGCGGAATTCACGACATGCCAGCTGGCTAAGGCTAAAAACAGTAGCATGCAGTGCTAGTGAAACAAAAACACTATTATTTCCACAAGGAAAGTTATTTGGAGTTTTCTTTCATACACATATTTACCTAGAATTACAAAACATTCACAAATACCCGCTTCTGTCGACGTTTTTACAGCTAACCGTCCCTTCTAACATTTTAGCCGACTGCATCAAAACAGTCCTGATCACAAAGCGACACCTGATACCTCGGCAGGTGATTGGCCCGCTGCTTTTCTCGCTCTGCTATGATTGGTTGTCGCCGCGTCGATCAGTTTGTCGCGTTCTTTATTCGTGAAGGCTAGAACAGGAAGTGAATGTTGTAGTTTTCCTCCGCTCGCCCTTGTATGCTGTATAAAGCGTCTCTGGTAGGAAGAGAACAGCAACCCCCAGACTAACCATCCACCAACCTGTTACGTAATGATCCCTCATCGCCACTATCGCCGCCTATCACCTTCTGTTTGCTAAGTAGCTATCTGTACGGGGAAAGTGGGTGTAATGGGTAGATGCGGACACTAACGTTAGCAAAATAACGCTCCTGTCAGAACATCACATCCCTTAAAACCACAACCATGTTCGGCCGGTCACGGAGCTGGGTTGGAGGACAGGGGAAAACGAAAAACATCCATTCCTTGGACCATTTGAAGTGAGTAGCTAGCAAAAAAAATAGGCTAACGTTAGCTTCTATGATTCATAAGCGGTTGAGAAGAACATTAGCTATGTTGTCAACAGTTAAAATAACTGTTATATCTGTCCAGTTATATATTTTAACATACATTTGCTATGTTGTTTCCTTTCTGTTTGGCTAGGTGGATAATCATGTGAGCTAACGTTAGCTTTAAGGTTAAAAATCTACCCTAAAACCGAATTGAAACTAACGTTACTACTATGCTGGTTTTTGACAATAAAGTCAGTCTCGTGCATTAACTGTCCGTACAAACTGTAGTATCGAGTTTTTGAACGTCTGCACAGGTGTTTCACTTGTTCGGGCTGATTAGCTTTACATTTGCTCAGGTTGAGGGGACTTTAAACAAATAAGAGTTGCTGAAATAGAAATTGCCCCATCACAACAGGAGAAACAAATTAACCGTTAATGAGGTTAGTCTGCAACACACCCACAAAAGCAGCAATTAGGCAAAAATAAGTATACACCTGTCATGGTGTAGAATATATACTTACATTTGGTGGTTATTACATACATATTACAAATATTTGGAGATGAGCAGTTGGCTACAAATACGTTTCTATTTCTACATGGGCTGATTCATTATTCAGCTTCCAGTTACTGTATGTCTTTATTACTGCTGTCTGTCTTTCTGCTGTTAAGTTAAGAGATGTGCTTTAACCAGATTCTTCTACATATCTTCCCTTTATTCATGTCTCTCCATCAGGTATATGTACCATGTCCTGACAAAAAACACCACAGTGACGGACCACAACCGAAACCTTCTTGTGGAGACCATCCGCTCCATCACAGAGATCCTCATCTGGGGGGACCAGAATGACAGCTCGGTGTTTGAGTAAGTAACCATCGAATTCTTAATGTCAAATCCCACACCGGAAGCTGCTTGGAAAATAATGAGACGGCAATGTATTCTCTATTTATATATGCAAGGTTTGCCAACTGTTAAAACGTTTTACTTACCTCCCAGACATGAATTTGAACAAATGTCCACAGAATGCACATTTGAATATTAAATCCTTTTATCTCCAACACTATAAATACACATTTACGACTCTCACCCCATCTTGCTATGATAAGAACATGTGACACTGTTTATGCTTGCTTATGACTTGAGTCAACTCATTTTGTAAGCCCACTGCAGTTTAGCTCACAAAACCATTAAATAATTCCCGTCGTTTCGGGGGACTCAAGCTCATGAAACCATTGTGTTTCTTTTAAATCAGAAGCAGCTCTGCAGTTTCATGTAATCACGTCTGTATCCGCGTTGCCACCTCCCGCTGAATTTTATGATACAGGAAATGGCTTTGAAGAGCAGAAAAGCCACAGAGGACGTTGAAAGTATTGTTGTGTGATTAGAAGCCCCGACAATAAACATGGACAGGAACAGTCACTTATAATTATCTAGGCTAGTAGCTGTTCAGTATTTTGAAACCATTAGGATTTTATTTCTCACTTTGAATGGAGATGCAGTCTTATTCAAACCTAAGGATAATGATTTACTTAAAAGGAAAAACACAACATGTATGGGGCAAAGTACTGAAGAGTTCTCCCTAAATGTAGTATTCACCCTGGCGTACAATAAACACTTTTTTAAAGTTATAAACTTCAAGGTTTATTCCAGGTGAAATGAGCAGTATACACGTCCAGCATATTGTAATAGTATAGGATAAACATGAAAGTGGAACACTCAGCTGTGTATTTGCACAAATCTAGCCAAATAATGGAAATCATGAAACAAGTATTAAAGGTGGGGTAGGTCATTCACTTCAGAAACACTTTGTTATATTCCATGGAATGCTCTTAACATCCCGATGCTTTGATAATAAATACATAAAGAAACGTCATCTGTGGAAGCCGTGGCGCTGTAAGAAGCACGACCAATTATTTTAGCGGCTAAAGTAACTGGATGGCCTACCTGCCTGTCAGCCTTCCATCTGTGCACAAACTTATCTCGTGCCCTCATTGGTCATGTGCGCGTTCGTGTGTGTTGGAGGAGGGGCTCTGTAAGGAAGTCTGAAGGAAGGGGCAGATTTTCTTCGGCTCCGTACAAATTCTAGCGCACTCGATCTGGTTTCTCCATTCTTACCTAGCCTACCTTTTTAATGTGTGATAATTATATTTGAACATCAAGTCATCATGAACTGACCCCTGTCTGTGTTTTTGTGTCCTGTATCTTCAGCTTCTTCCTGGAGAAGAACATGTTTGCCTTCTTCCTGAACATCCTGCGTCAGAAGTCGGGACGCTACGTGTGCGTCCAACTCCTCCAGACCCTCAACATACTGTTTGAGAACATCAGCCATGAGACTTCCCTCTGTAAGTCTTTGAATCAACACTGGTTAAAAAATGAAAGCATATTTGATGTAATGCATCGCAATTAAATAGCCCTAGTACATGTAATACATTTATTTAAATGTTGTAGTTTTTTAGAATGCTGCTTTAATTTGTGCTGTTCCTTTTTTGTGGTATTATATTATACTTACAGTATGGTGCTATTTATTTTAGTCTGTATTACAGTTGAGCAGTGAAAGAATAGTTATAACAAGATTGTTGTTTGGGATTGCCCTAAAATGTGTGTGTAGATGTTTATATATAATAATAATAATAAATGGGATTTATATAGCGCTTTTCTAGACCCAAAGACTCTTTACATTATGAATCAGGTCGACAAACAAAACAAGAACAAAAACACAAACAAAAACAAAAACAAAAACAATATATAGTTAACATGCTCTGTAGACTTTACAATGCAAGGCATGTTGTACTGCCTGTCTTTGTTGAAATGCACAATGAATAGCCTTCTGCATTTTTGGTTGTTGCTAGGCAACTACACACTAAGCACATACTGTCATTTATACAGTGGGCTGTTATATTATATAAAGTGAGCAATGTTTTTATTTATGTCTCAAAAGGAATTGAGTCTTAAATGATTTTCACTGTACACGACTGTCCCTGTGTCTGTCCGATGGCACTTCTGACCTCATAATCGTTGAGTAAAAATTAAGCTTTTGCTGTTTCGTATTCTCTTGTACAACCACCAAATGCCTTTATGGAAATTAATAAATGGATGGTAAAAAGATTGTCACATCAGCATTTCAACATTCCACATAAGGCTTTCCTTAAAGCTATGAACAAGCCTGATCAAGTGTCTTCTCTTCTCAGATTACCTGTTATCTAACAACCATGTGAACTCCATCATCGTCCACAAGTTTGACTTCTCAGACGAGGAGATCATGGCCTACTACATCTCCTTTCTCAAGACCCTGTCACTGAAACTCAACACCCACACCGTGCACTTCTTCTACAATGAGGTGAGTCCTTAGACAGATGGGCGAGATCTGAGGGAAATAAGAGGGACTGAATGAAAGGACAGTCATGGAGGAATCTTAAAGGATGTCACCTTTATCATGTGCTTATTAAGAAAGGGAGAGAGAGATGGACGATTAGAGACTGACAATTGAGAATGGAATGAAAGATGGAAGAAATTAGTAACAGCAGCTAGGCATATGGAGAGACAAAAATGAAAGGTTGTTGCTTAAATTCAGAAAATCTGTCTCTGGCATTTTGTGCAAGTCGACCTCAGTTTGTACATATCAGACTACTCCTATCCACCAATCTTCAGCAGGCCGTTTCCCCTGTCAGAGCGTCAGCTTCCTGTGTAGATGGGCTGTTTCATTGCTCTTTCTCTCCACCCACACTTAAGTATTTAAGTGACCTTCATCTGAGGGTATGAGAATATAACCATTCAGGCCTGTTGCTGTGTGTGTCTCTGTGCGTGTGTGGTAATAGATGGTGACACCAAAGTAAACTGACCTCTTGAATAATTTCTGATGACTCTGTTGTAACGTTGTTGCTTGAGCAGTATCTGTAGTCCTTCCACTGGCCTGAAAGTTATTGGTGTACTGTCGATGGTAGCTCTGCCCCTGAGGCTAAATCAAGACCCAACGTGTAGCTCTGACAGTATTTATGCACACAGTTCAATTACCTTAAACATAGGTATTTTAGTTTAAATGTTTACTTAACAAATATTAATTTTTGTAACGCCTCTGGATTTAGAGTTGTAGGTAACTTAACTGACATTTAGTCTGAAAGCAACTCATATACATCTTTTCAAAGTGTATGATTGTCCTGTTTATTACTCTCTCATTGAATTTCTTATAATTAAGTATACTTGATGTACAGTTAATTCTCCTCCAGAGGGTGCTATTGGATAGAGCATTAGTTTGGCAGCTTCTGTTTCTCTCAGATCTACACAGTCAGTTACCTTTCAGGTTTGTTTTGGTGTCAGGGGCATTTGTTGCTGGCCCTCAACTGTGATTGGCTGGAGGTCACAGTGATTGAGGAATGGCTGGGGAGAGGATCAGGCACAGAGAGAGATTACTCAAAGTCTCAGAACAGCCAGTCATTCAGAAATGTGTTGATACATGCTGTCCATCGAAAGCAGTGTTTCTCAAACTTTTTCATACCAAGGACCACTTAACCAATAAAAAAACACTCGCGGACCACCTAACTCCACAAATATCCAAAATCACATATGTTTTCTAGAACAGATTACAAATCGCCTGAAAATGGTACAAACAAGTGGCAACATGTGTGATGAAGGTGTTGCATGGGGCTATATTATGCAATCGAAAGTTAAACTTAACCTCGCTCCATTGCGGAGATATTCCCGCGAGAGTGCGGAAAACTCAAATTTAATTAAATTATTTAAAATGTTACCAATATACTCACGGACCACTAGGGGGCACTCACGGACCACCAATGGTCCACGGACCACACTTTGAGAAGCACTGATCTAAAGGAATGTTAGATAAGGAGCAAAAGTCAGTTAGTTCATTTTGATCTTATTGAGTGTCTCTGTGTTTCAAGTTGGGCCAAAAACACCCCTGGCTTATGACTGATTTCTAAGAGACATTTATCCTAATTTATTTTGGATTTGAGTAACTCATGGGTTAGTCTACTAATTGAAAGTGAAGAAAATGATGCACTTTTTTTGATGTTATACAGTTGAGTGTACAGTGCCTTGCTCACCGGCGCCCCCTCTCTGTCTCCCACACACAGCACACTAATGACTTTGCCCTGTACACCGAGGCCATTAAGTTTTTCAACCACCCTGAAAGCATGGTCCGCATCGCAGTCCGGACCATCACACTCAACGTCTATAAAGGTGAGTGCCGGAAGCACGCATGCTACACACACACACACACACACACACACACACACACACACACACACACACACACACACACACACACACACACACACACACACACATACTCGCAAGTTGCTGGGACTGTCTTCCTCCCCTCTTTTTATTTTTTTTCTTGTTTCTGGTGCATGAGCATGACGACCAGATAACATTGACAAAAGTGGCTCTCTAGAAGAGTATAGTCCTAATAATACTTTTTTACAATCCTTGTTATATGAAGGTTTTCAAAAGTTCCTGTGACCAAGGTAATAGATAGAAATATGTTCATTATTCACAGTGTTAGGGAAATAATACTCCTAGACTCCTAGATATGACGTTCATGACCAACCCTGACGTCTGTTATCTCCTTTAATGAGATAGGCTGCTTCAGCCGTAATGTTATTGTTCCCATTCTATGACCGGGCAACCCTAGGTCACAGATGGTTGATTGTTGTGGGTACACTGGGACACTTCATTCTCGGTGTTTGTGGAATCCAAGGTGTGAAATCTTTGAGGCCATAAGTGTCAGACGCAAGTAACTCAGTGTTCCCAGCTGTTTAGGCTATCTTCTCAAATATGTTGATTACTCTCTGTGAAGCCAGTTAAATGGGCTAAGGAGAGAGAGGCGCTCCAGAATTGATGTGGCAACTCTCCCGTGCAGTCAGACCGTGACTGCTGTGACTTGTGATGTAAATCTTGATACTTGTCAAAGATCTCTCAGCAGGTGTCAGTATTGCTAAACGTAATCTTCTGCACTGACTAGAAAATGCACTGTATTTGCTGAGAACTTGACAAGAAAAGCTGTTCAACTTTACCACTGAGATAAAATTGCAAAGTGACACAGAATCTGTTAACCCTTGAAACGTTGCAGCTAGCAATGTGGGTCTTTCTGTTGGTCAGATAAGGCCCTTTGGAGGATTATTGGTTACCCTGAGGAAGTATTAAGGGGCCAATCTCTTATTGTACATTTCCAATCCCACACTGTATTTGGGCTTTTTCTGCTAATTGCACAGGAACAATCTCTTCTGCAAGTCTAATCAACCCAGCATGTTAAGTTTTTGAAACCGAGTGCCCTCTGAGATAAGAATTAGCTCAACAGTAAAGTGTGTTAGCATCAGCAATGTTCCCAAGGCTGTGTTGCTTTCTGCACCGTGCTGCATCAGCCTCTTCTCCCTCCTCCTGCCGTCTCTCTGAGCTGATCGCTGTCATGGGATGCGGATGGTGCATTTAGCTAGTTTGGCTTTTCCTCACACGTCATGCTTCTCTTCACTACACTGTACATAACATGACCTCAACATACAGTCAATGCAACACAGGAACTACGGTTTACTCTTCTCTCCGGTGACCGTACCCATTATCCAGCCTTGCATGTAGCTCTCTGCACCTTGGAGTCTAACGTTGTTTAAATTCAGTGACGTCATAACAGAACTAATTTATGAATAATCTAATGGTGTGGGGAATGTATCATTGTTGGTCTGGGCTATGCTTGATTAGAAATCTGTCAAAGGAGTAATCATCAACTCATTGCAGCAACTGTGACTCTGCCTTGTTTTCCATCTTCTTCATCTACATCCCGATGTGCCGGCTGACACATTGCTGTAGTTCAAAGTAGTCGTTGCATTGTGATTTGTACGCAGTCTGTGAGCTGTGTTGAAAATATTTGTTTAACAGCGAAATGTTAAATATGTCACAGTTTGATGCTTCCTACTGATTAACATGTTACACAGGGAAAAGCAGGATGTGAAATCCTAAAAATAAGTTTCAAGTGTTTAGGTTACAAAGAAACTCCTTTTGCCAGATGTGCCATTGTTTGCAGCGTGTTGGTTGGGATGCCTGCGGGGTCTTTCCAAACCCCCACCCCTTCACCCTGTAAACACATTAACCCTGTGTCTGCTTCCCCCTCTTCAAACAACCACTCCTCCTCTTCCTCTCCTTGTCTCTCTCCCTATGCGCGCCCCATCTGCCTAACTCCAGTTTCATGTAAGTTGGTTCCATTCATTCAGTCTTTTTATTTTACTACCTGGTATCCTAGAAACGTGTTTTTATTTTATTAACTGTTGTGCTGCTGGTTGCCGTGGAGCCAGCCAGTTTAGTATAGTTTCCATGATAATGCCTCAAATTTGAAATATTTACCCAATTAGGTTTTATTAATTATTTATTAATACTCTTTATGTCAGTGTTTGTTGAGACGAAGTGCAATCTGTTCCCAATAATGTATGTGTTGTAAATGTACCGGTATAAATGCCATTGCAATTCTTTATTCTTATAAATTAATCAACATTATATCATCAACCGACATAAATGCAGAAAAACTTTTTTTTAAATTTATGTTACTTTGATTAGTTGTTCCTTAGTCTTAATTTCAGCTGAGTTCCATATCTTCATTTTTATTTTAGTAATGGGTTGTTCTGATCTGGTTACTATGGTTATTTAGACGTCAGTGCTTTCATTGTGAGTTCACCCACTAATGGCGAAAGCTGGAATGACAATGTGAATTTAAATGGTGGCAGCTTGTGATTTGTTTTTCTGCTGTAATTCGTTCATTTGATTTGGCTGCTCCTTCATTAGGTGTCTCAGTTCGACCCGTGTGGACTGGCATTGTGAAATGATTAACAAGCTTTTATTTGCATTTTGATAACTACATGAGAAAGTGTTGGTCTGCATCTTCAAGTCATGACCAAACATATCTGGTATTCTGAAATAGACAGCAACAGATGTTTTGTTATATTTGCAAATGCTATTCAACACCTGTCAGATTGTTCTACTTTGTAGTTTTTTTGTATCTACTAAATTAGCTCTGACCCCTTTTTTTATAAACGACACATTCAGCCTGTGATTTATCAGACTTCATACAAGTGCCACAAAAAAAGTGCAGGAAGTTTTAAACAGACTTTGATTTGTAAAATCAACGGTTCGCCTGTTCGTCGGTTCGACATGTGCTCTGTTTCATTACTTCAAATACAAATTTAGCACAAATCTGGCTTATATCCTGCTCTTGTCTACTCTTCTTCAGAAAGCAGTGACTGTGTCCAATTGATGAGTGCAGGATCAGATCACAGGATTGAATTAAACAGAAATAACTGGCTTTTTCTTCCTCCCACTCCAGTAGAATCCCCTTAATGTTCTATTAGAAATAGACTCGTTTGTGTCCTTGTCTCCTTGACTTCCCGTGGTTGGTTATATTCTTTAATTTGCTTCTTAATTGTAATGCTTTTTGTTGTTGATTTGATGACTGTGAACAGCCTCAGTAAACACCCTGACCCTGACCCTGATCTCTGCAGTGGACAACCAGCACATGTTGCACTACATCAGGGATAAGACGGCGGTGCCATATTTCAGTAACTTGGTCTGGTTCATCGGCAGCCACGTCATCGAACTGGACAAGTGTGTGCAGACGGATGAAGAGTGAGTGCCGCTAATCTTCTCACAGTGTAATTCTCACTGAGGTCACTAGAGGTCAGGCATCTCTTTGCTATGTCACTGTTATCCTGGAGCTCAGTCGAGGACTTGTATTTGACTTGATTAGTATTCAAGGGCCTGGTGAATT